TTGGAGCAGTGACAAATTAACATTCGTAAACAGTCCTTGTTAGAAAAATATTTCTAATCAACATTTTACCTTTTACCATTTTGCCTTTGCCTTGATTCTATTTTAATTTTTACATTTCCCCACTTTAAATGAATTATTTCAACATTTCCCCCACTTTACAGGAGTTATTTTGACATTTGTGTGCTAAAAAACTGCAAAATATATAAACAGCATGTATCATATCAATTATATACATTTACCATTATATGCTGTGTTGGTAATTTCTTTTGAGAAAAGTTTATATTTTTGACAAAGAAGACAGTATTAGTTTGCTGTTTCATTTGTCTGGTGGCATTTGTTATTAATATAATTCAGCTGCTGTGGCCTAGCAATCAGTGTGCTTGCCTGACAAGACTGGGGTGTATTTAGCCCCTTACCATGGCAGGATTTTTTTTTTCCAGCTTAAAAAAATAGGTAGTGGATAACTACCATCGGCACCAAAGCGAGAGGGCTCAAGTCCCCTGAGACACCGCACCCCTCAGTAATTAGTGTAAGCTCCTTGTTGAAGGCTGCTTATTGTAAACATCAACACTATGACTTCACTTGACTTCAAAAAAGAATAAACAGCCATACCAGCACACTGTCATGTCCGTGTCTGCCCTGACTTAGAATAAAAGTAAGCCAGTGGTTCTTATTTGAGTGTATATGTTAACAAGGAAGACATACCATATTTGTTGGTGTAAAAGATGCCCCCAAAATTGAAATTTTCCAGAAAAAAATGCATATTTAATTCTTGCATCTATTTAAATACACAAGTTTATAATTATGGCCGCTGTACACGTTTTTCTTGCTGCGCGCAGTTTCATTTATTCATTTTACACAAAACACCCTGCTGAGACCACAAAATACATGGTTTGTCAGTCATCGGAGGCCCAAAGTGACGCTCTGCTGACCTAGTACCATGTTCTTTAGCATAATTTACTACCAGGACAAATACAGTAATTTGTTTCCTGGCTAGAAATAACAAGTACGGGGTTGAGGTTTAAAAAAACAAAAAAAAACTATTCTTGGGGTGATGGGGGAATGTGTGAAGTTGTTCACATTGGTGCCGGAACCAACAATTTGACTTGGAAATGTGTAAGGTGGGGGTTAACTCCCAGGGTTAACTTTGTAGTGGTGTGCCTGCTATCAATAGTATATGGCATGATACTTCCTTGTCTTTATAAGCATAGAAGTAAATGTTTATTGTTTCTATGTCTGTGATCAGTAGCCTATCAACTTTAGTAGCGTCAGAAGCATCATGGAACTCCACCTCACATGTAGCTGTTAAGAGTTGTTGAGAAAAGAGGTCAAATAAAAATACATATGTTTAAAAAAAAATGGAGACTTCAATCATGGTGCTTTGTTTTCAGTGTTAATTTTTTTTTATTTCAGATTAGCAGAAAATGAACAAAATTTTATTTGAGACAATATTATTAATTATTTTTTTCAGACATTAATGATGAAAATCAGGGATGTGAAGGCACAGATGGAGAAGACAAACAATCAATCATGAACACAAGTTTTCTGAAAAGGTCAGTCAAGGACACATCTGATGCCTGATGCTGGGCATACGATGCTAGACTGACATCTGGGTAGACTAATAGGCACTTATAGATGATGTGGTCAATTAATGGACACTTGATGGATGATATGGTCACTTGGGCACTTTATGGATGATGTGGTCAACTAATGGACACTTGGTGGATGATGTGGTCAGATGGACACTTGATGGATGGTGTGGTCAGATGGACACTTGATGGATGATGTGGTCAGATGGACACTTGATGGATGATGTGGTCAGATGGACACTTGGTGGATGATGTGGTCAACTAATGGACACTTGGTGGATGATGTGGTCAACTAATGGACACTTGATGGATGATGTGGTCAACTAATGGACACTTCATGGATGGTGTGGTCAACTAATGGACACTTGGTGGATGATGTGGTCAACTAATGGACACTTGATGGATGATGTGGTCAACTAATGGACACTTGTGGATGATGTGGTCAACTAATGGACACTTGGTGGATGATGTGGTCAACTAATGGACACTTGGTTGATGTGGTCAGATGGACACTTGATGGATGATGTGGTCAACTAATGGGCACTTATAGATGATGTGGTCAACTAATGGACACTTGATGGATGATGTGGTCAACTAATGGGCACTTGATGGATGATGTGGTCAGATGGACACGTGATGGATGATGTGGTCAACTAATGGACACTTGGTGCATGATGTGATCAATTGGACACTTGATGGATGATGTGGTCAACTAATGGACACTTGGTGCATGATGTGGTCAACTAATGGACACTTGGTGCATGATGTGATCAATTGGACACTTGATGGATGATGTGGTCAACTAATGGACACTTGGTGCATGATGTGGTCAACTAATATAGATGACAACTAATGGTGCATGATGTGATCAAATGGACACTTGATGGATGATGTGGTCAACTAATGGACACTTGGTGGATGATGTGGTCAACTAATGGACACTTCATGGATGATGTGGTCAACTAATGGACACTTGATGGATGATGTGGTCAACTAATGGACACTTGGTGGATGATGTGGTCAACTAATGGACACTTGGTGCATGATGTGGTCAACTAATAGACACTTGGTGCATGATGTGATCAATTGGACACTTGATGGATGATGTGGTCAACTAATGGACACTTGGTGGATGATGTTGTTAACTGGACACTTGGTGGATGATGTTGTTAACTGGACACTTGGTGGATGATGTGGTCAACTATTAGACACTTGATGGATGATGTTGTTAACTGGACAATTGGTGGATGATGTGGTCAACTAATAGACACTTGATGGATGATGTTGTTAACTGGACACTCGGTGGATGATATGGTCAGTTAGACACTTGGTGGATGATATAGTCAGTTGGACACTTAATGGATAATGTGGTCAACATCACACCAGCCACATTTACCTGGTTGTGTCAACATAGGGTCAAGGGAACTTTTTTTTTTTTAACAATACAATGCAGTGTGGATTCAAACCTTCACCCTCACAGGCAAGTGTTCAGACATTATGATGCCTCAGCTAAATGTTAAGTCAATACACAATTTCATATATATATATGTAAATAAATATATATATATACAAACACACACACACATATAGTTCAACAACAGCCTGTGGAATAGGTAAAATGTCTGTCTGAGCAAATAGAAGATTAAAGAAAAGCTACTGCAGCATTGTCCTGTTACTGGCATAACCTACTTTATGTCTTAAATAGGTCATGGCTCAGGTCGACATTGTCCTGTTACTAGCATAACCTACTTTATGTCTTGAATAGGTCATGGCTCAGGTCGGCATTGTCTTGTTACTGGCATAACCTACTTTATGTCTTAAATAGGTCATGGCTCAGGTCGGCATTGTCTTGTTAAGTGAAACAAACTGATCCTCATGCGGTTTGACCAACATTTATTTACAAGATAACTTTTCTCTCATCCAAATCTAATTTGTAATTTCATCAGAAACATATCTCTACAAGTTGATTCGTTCAAACAAAACTAAAAAGGGAAAAACAAACATGAGACCCATTTTTACAAATTAATCATGATATAATAGGAACAGTTTAAACCAGAACGAGCTTTACTTCCAAGGGTTAGAGTTTGCACCAGCATGACTGTCTGACATATAGAGAATTGCCGTGCGGTCCAGTAGGAAGACTATATACCAAACTGGATACCTGTCTCATCTGTGTAGGTTCCAGGTGATAATTTTGTATCTTTGTCCCATTTGGTGATGATTTTGCGTCAAGTATTGTTTGTGCAAGTGAAAGCCTGTAGCAGTTTCATGTTAAGAGCCGCAGTCTCCAGTCGACACCCAGTGAGCAAGGAAACAGATTGGCAGGTCTCCAGTCGACACCCAGTGAGCAAGGAAACAGATGGGCAGGTCTCCAGTCGACACCCAGTGAGCAAGGAAACAGATTGGCAGGTCTCCAGTCGACACCCAGTGAGCAAGGAAACAGATGGGCAGGTCTCCAGTCGACACCCAGTGAGCAAGGAAACAGATGGGCGGGTCTCCAGTCGACACCCAGTGAGCAAGGAAACAGATGGGCAGGTCTCCAGTCGACACCCAGTGAGCAAGGAAACAGATGGGCAGACCTGATTCAGACTGCTAGTGCTGCTATCAACATGGGAACTCTTCGCTGGTTACTGATGAATGAGACAAGGCTACCGATGAATGAGACAAGGCTACCGATGAATGAGACAAGGCTACTGATGAATGAGACAAGGCTACCGATGAATGAGACAAGGCTACTGATTAATGAGACAAGGCTACTGATGAATGAGACAAGGCTACCGATGAATGAGACAAGGCTACCGATGAATGAGACAAGGCTACCGATGAATAAGACAAGGCTACCGATGAATGAGACAAGGCTACCTATGAATGAGACAAGGCTACCGATGAATGAGACAAGGCTACTGATGAATGAGACAAGGCTACTGATGAATGAGACAAGGCTACTGATGAATGAGACAAGGCTACCGATGAATGAGACAAGGCTACTGATGAATGAGACAAGGCTACTGATGAATGAGACAAGGCTACCGATGAATGAGACAAGGCTACTGATTAATGAGACAAGGCTACTGATTAATGAGACAAGGCTACTGATTAATGAGACAAGGCTACTGATTAATGAGACAAGGCTACTGATTAATGAGACAAGGCTACTGATTAATGAGACAAGGCTACTGATTAATGAGACAAGGCTACCGATGAATAAGACAAGGCTACCGATGAATGAGACAAGGCTACTGATGAATGAGACAAGGCTACTGATGAATGAGACTAGGCTACCGATGAATGAGACAAGGCTACTGATGAATGAGACAAGGCTACTGATGAATGAGACAAGGCACTTGCGTTTATATCCCGCGTGCAGTGACCTCGATTCTGGAATCACCCGTTCATGTGTCATGTATGTCT